CCAGATAGTTTTCTGAAATGACAGCAAGCACCTTTCGGCTGTTGTACACGCTGTCCGCCATGTTCTCCAGGATCGCTTTTCCAATTACAAAGTCGCGGCTGTGAATGCAGTAGTTGATTTGCTTTCTCTCCAGCAAAGGAACGAGGTTGTCTCGGACCCAGGGATAGTCGAGGGTGCTGAACGTAACGAAGATGTCATACTGAAAGTCTTCTCTGTCTTTTAATTCAAACTGATCTGATAGTATAAAAAAGATAAAAGTTATATTGAATGGATGAACAATTTGAACTGAGTGAGTCCTGAGTGAACAGTAACTTCGATTCTTTAAGCCATGTCCTAACGAGCAGGGGCTGGGTACAAACGCTTTAAGAACATGAAATGAAAAAAAAACAAAAACAAACAAAAACAAAAACATCCAAGCATAATTGACACGGTGTGTAAATTTAGCGTGATGAGGAGGAAATTATATCATTGAAAATCAGCATGTTCACTCACATTTGACATTTCAACAACATGAAGCAATTTTTTAGTTACTGGAGCCATTGCACGCACCAGTATGGTTTAACTATTTCCTAGTTACATGTACATTCAATTATTTATAACAAGCTCTACAAGTACGAAAACAATAACAATGAAAGCAACTTGCATTTCTGATATCTTCTCCTCTGGGTTCTTCTTCGGTAAAGAATTATGGCTATCACGAGACAACAGAGAGCCATTACACCTCCAACAATTGACAGGATATATGTAAGGGAATGACTCTTCAGTAGCCCATTTGGAGTGTGCAGGGATTCTGAAAGGAATATAATTTGTTTTTAAAAATACAGAGTTTCTTAATAATGGTTTTTAGGTAATTTAATTTTGAGTGTAAAAATAAATTTAGCACTTGAGAGGATGTATAAGCCCACTTTTAATTTCATTATGATGAGCGCCAACTCGCTCGAAATTCACGAAGAGTAATTTTATTTACGGCATGTGACTCAAAATCTCGACGTGGATTTTCTCCCTGTACTTCTTCCCTTTACTGTCTCTTTCAGTATATTTTAATTCTTTTCCATAGTTTTCTTTCAATTTGTGACATAGTCAAGTGAGCTGGTCTGATTCGTATTCCCGGTCACCTTCTTGCCCCATGTCAGTAAGGGAATCCGAATTCCGGAATCTGGGAAAATTTTTCTAGTGGAATCCGGAATACAGCTCAAGGAATCCGGAATTCCACTTACGATTGGAGTCCGGAATCCAAGTGCCACTGACAAAGAATCAACCGGAATCCAGTACCTGGAATCTGGAATCCATGGCGTGGAATCCAAAGTCCAAATTGAAGATTGCCTGAGATTCCCTTACATAGGACGAACCTTTCTTCCCCAGCGACTCCCGCGGAAGGGATATCTCACCTTCTCTCACTGTAAGATTAACCTTCCCTATATCATGTCCCAGGATATTAGCCGCGATACACTTGTACATGCCTTGGTCGGTCACACGGGTGTAGAAAATCAAGAGGCAACCATCCTTCTGGAGCATATTCCCTGTTATAACGCTACTATTGCCTTCAAAATTCGGAGCTGATACCGTGGAATTTACCAGGGTTCCGTCAGGTGTAATCCACGAAAACGTCGGCTTAGGCAAACCTCTTGCACGGCACGTAAGTTTCACGACTTTTTTGGTAACAGACACTTTTGGTTGATCAACGTAAGAAAAGTTGTGTCGAGCTCTGTAAAAACGACTTAATTTACCATCATATAGATAGTTATAAAGTAGACGACAAAAATGCAACCATTACCTTGACAAAGAAAGCCATCTCCAACGTAACCGTCGATACAGGTGCAATTGTACGAGCCCTCGGTGTTGGTACATTTTGCTTTCTCATGACATTTATTCAGGTCCTGATCTTTACATTCATCAAAGTCTGTTTTTGTATAAAATGACAAATGTTGGTTAAGCGTGTCAAAAATAACGGTAGAAGCTAAGATGCGATATAGAGTATAGTGGAAAGAGGATGTCATATCATCTAATATACTTTCCCTCTCGGTCAAAAAATAATAATGATGATGATGATGACGACGACGACGACGATGATGATGATGATGATGATAATAATAATAATAATCAAAAGTAGGTTGAGTTTGATCGTCCGGGTGAACGTAGTCCTGAATAGGACTGTTGTTGTTGACAGTGACTGACGTTTCGACAACATGTGCGGTAGTCATCTTCACAGTCAAAGTGAGTTGTATCACGTCAGTTGATGGTATTATACTATGGTTATTGATCTGATTGGTCAATTACGTCGCGATGTTATTGGCTATGAAGACTCGTAATCAGTAATTGGTGCGTTTCGATCCGTCTATTGTCACTGTGTCGCCTTTTCTCGCGTGGGGTGATTTTCACGCGCGCTCGCGTTTCGCTCGCTCTACTATCCCTGAGAAAAAATGGGGGACTACTCGTAGTCTAAGTTCATTTTGTTATCAATAGGGAGCTTAAAGGGACACAGTCAGCTGATGCACATGCGCATTAAATACCATTTCTTAGCTGATTTGCATGTCACAAGACGCGCGTGAAACAAAAGCGTATCACAAACCTTTTAGAGTTGAACTACTTACAAGCCGAAATCGTGATTATAGGCCCTAAGCCACATCAGAGCACTCATTTTTTATATACCATTGAGAATGTACCGATGGATTTTTCCAGGGAAGCCAAACATCGACGAATATTTCCGAATTCGAACATCAGTAGAAGTGAGAAACTGCACGAAGTCTGAGTGATTTTTCTGTGTGAAAGGTTCACGGTCTAGTACGCTTGATTTTCCAAATATATGTAACCTTTCCATCCATTTTCCAAATATATATATACATAATGATTATTGCTCGTCAATATTACTGATTCATTTCTCTTGTTATTTTGGTAAACGAATTGAAGGCGATTTCTCCCGCCGGGCGCCTACGCGTTTCTCACCTCTTCTGTTCACGTTCCTTTGAATACTGTAAAATAATGTCAAAATAATGTAAAATAATGTCACAGGGTAAGTTAAAGTTTGCTCAAAAAGAGGTTTTCAGTAAAATATCGAGGTTCGAATGAAACACTAGGTAGGATTGAAGCGGATTTCTAGATGTATCGGACGCGTAGATTTGATTTCGGGTTGAAGTACACGCTTTTCAGACAGACAGGGCTGAATAACGTACTGCGCATGTCCGTGACATCACTTGTTTACCAAGCAGACCCGCGCCAGGGATGCACTTCTGCATCTGATAAATAAAACTCACGAAGGAGAAATTCAGCGAATGCCGGGGGGGTTCAGAACTTGAGTGAACGCAAAACCACCCACAATACCTTTCGGGATTGTCGCATGCACTCTTTCCGAAAACTTTTCTCGACTGAATTGTCAGTGCAACCAGCATATTTCTTTAACAAACATCAGTGTAATTTTGTTGTTTAAATTCATTCTTGTGTTCCAAATGGTTTAAAGGAACCTAATACACTGTACAAAGTTAAATCCACCACACATATCTTCTTTTCTTGTCTAAAGATTTAGACATTGCAAACATAAATAATTCTCGTGATTTTACTGTAGAACAGTACAATACTATACTAATACTATGTTTAACTCACCAACATCATCCTCCTTTTGTCCGGCTGACCCCTGAGGCGTTTTCTGAACTGATGGAGTGGTGGTTGTTGTGGACGGATGTGGTGTCATTCCGCAACGACGTCCAGTAATGCCTGGAGGACATCTGCAACATGTATACATTGGATTTTTTTTAATACGGTTGAGCTAAAACAGGATGGCAAACAGGGCTCAGTTCTTCAAAAGATGGTTAATTTTAACCCAATATTTTATGTACAGGGTAAGGTTTTCTTATCTAAGAACATGCAACTTGAGCTTAAAAAATATTGTTGAGCCTTTGCTCCGAGATGCAGTAATGATAGCACAAAATGTTACTCTAAGCAATACATAGGAAGGTAAAATACAAAAATGGAACAAACTTTTAATCCTGTATTTGCACTAATCGGCCGTTCAGGAACCGGGCTTAGAAGAAGAGATGCCATTGTCTCTTTTAACCCGTAACTTTCTAACTCGCCACATTTCAGAAAATTGTTCATGAAACCCTTTGAAAAAACAGTCCCCAACAACATACCAACAATCATGTTGATTTCAGCTAAGTACATGTCACAGTTGAGTACATGTGTTTCTACAAAAGAGGGACAGTTTTAACCACATTATTAGAACTCTGTGAAATTTAAAGGAATTAACATTTCAACTCACATGCAAGATGGAAGTTTCACATTTTCTTCGCCAGGTTTACAAGTTCCACCATTTAAGCAAAAATTATCCTTGCATTTAAAGGCATCTACGAAGGAAGCACAGAAACACATCCACATCAATTGGTGGTAACTTGTTATAATTTCTTTCTTGAAAATCCAGCACATAACATATGCAGATAAAGCAATATTAAATAAACATGTAAGAAATTTCAATTGTCAAGGACATCTAAAAATTCTACTAAAATTAATGTGAAACATAAGAGAGAACTTCCTGGAGATGATTAGGAGTCAAACAGGTGTGCTTTGTTAAACAAGTGCTCCTTTAACGATGGAAAATTTTATAATTTGTGATAAGGGGTTTTAAGCTTACTTTGGAAACTACACCCAATAGCAGTGAGCAGCTACACTGTATATCAGATACTACAGTGTACATGTAAAATTCCCAAGCACAGCACAAGAGACAACCAAGTAGCTGTGGTAAGTACACAGCAACTGTTAATCACAAACATCAGACAAACTAAAAATTTTACACTGCAAGAAATTGAAATTTTCTGCTGATTAGACCAACAATATGAATTGGTCTTACTTAGTAGTTTCAAGAATAGAGCAAGGTTAGAGTAAGCAGCTAGTTGTATGTCAAACGTGGAACTCGTCAGCTGCAATTTGTTACAGGATAAAGTTTAAAAATGATGATTGGCAGATACATATTAGTTAATTCACTACTTGCTACCTGGCTAGAAGCTTCATCGTGAAGACAAAGAATGAATATATACAAAGCCAGCCTTAATGTCCTGGCTGAGTGTCAAAAAGTACCTGACAGTTAGAGTAAATACCTGTTGTGTTGCAGGTCTTGGAATCATAAAGGAGCTTGATGCCTGGAGGGCAATGACAAGAAAACTGATCTGGGTAAAGACGTTTTGGTGCCAAGAGACAGATGTGACTGCAACCTCCATAATGCTCTGCCTCACGGCATGGACTTGTTCCTGTTATTCAAAACAAAAAGAGTTAATCAGGTTCAGTATTAAGCAGTACTGTCCCAGACAACTTTAGATCATGCTGTAAAGCCTTTCAATCCCAAGAAAAAAATCAAAATTTCAGAAGAAACTGAAATTTGACCTGGTAAATGGTGAGAAACAAATACAGCTGTTAACTGCAATTTAATAGTACCACAGATAATGCTTTGATGCTAACGTTAGTGTCACAAAAAGTAGGTTATAATATGTAACTTGAATTTTTAAACAAGTTTTGGTGAAAAAATGGCAATTGTTATGAACTGACCTCTAGGTTGACGCTGCTTGTGAAAAAAATGAATGCCACTGGGGTCGTTCAAGTTTTCTTGTATAACCACTTGCTCCTTGCCATTGAACTTGTTAGCCCTGTTAATTGAGCCATGCTCCCGGTCGGTCCAAAACATATAGTTCCGAAATAATGTTAAGGCAAACGGATGACTAATGGACTCTCTTAAGATAACACGACGATCTCTCCCCAAGAAATTCGCAGACTCTATGGTGTGCATCTTGTCATCTGCCCACCAGATTCTGTCGATAGTGTAGTCTATGGTCAGTGCATTTGGCCACAAAATGCTTGTATTGATGATTACCTCTCTTGTCTGTAGATCACCATTCAATCCACATCGTTCTATTTTGGGCGTTGCACCCCCGTCTGACCAGTACATGTAACTAAGACAAAGGGAAAAAATTTCATTACCATAAATCCTCTATTAAGCCACCCCTCTCTAATAAGCCCCTCTTTTCAGAGGAGGAAAGTTAATAAGCCCCCTCTCTCTATTATACCCCCCCTCCCTCCATCCTTATTCTTCACAAACAATTTATGTAGACTGATCAGTTATGGTTTATTCAGGGCAAGAGGCTGGAAGTTCATATTGTCTTTGGTCTTCGGCCGCATGACCTCCAACTTCATGTGCTTCACCTTTATTTTTCAATTTTATGTTCTAGTTCTCTGTGGAGGCTCCCACAAGTGACTTAAAGACTGTTGACAGTGACTTGTACAACACCATCCTCGGAGACCCAGGGGCAGATAGTGGGGGCGAGGGGAAAGTCTAAACAGGCAGAAAAATAAGGCAGGAAGAAAAGTAAACGGCGAGAAGAGCCCCTGGGGACAATGTCTTACCAGACCAGTTCCAAACGGTCGCCGCCATTCTGACTTCAGATTGGTGCCAGAAAAACACAAGTTTTCTGGCACCAATCAGAAGCCAGAACGGCGGCGACCGTTTGGAACTGGTCTGGTAAGACATTGTCCCCAGGGGCTCTTCTCGCCGTT